AAATTCATTACCGATTTTGAGAAGAAGTGGCATTTGCAAGCTGAACAGTAGAGGCTGCGTTATTAGTTTTTTGGACGTCAAGATAAGGCGGAGTTGGAATAAGCGGGACTGAAAGTTGTTTATTCTCCTTCTGGCTTCTATCTACTTCGTCAAGATCAACTTTTTCAGATGCCTCAGAAAAGAGCAATAAAGGTGTTGAGGTAGGACTCTGCTCCAATGGCCATGAGTGCATGCTGCTAGGAGTTGGCAACTCTGACGGTATAGGGTAGGTGTTGGCAGTTTGATTAATGAACTCAGATTTATCGCAACCAGTTGTATCTGCAGAAGAGGAGGATGAAATGAGTCCATTAAGTACGCATTGATTGGTCTGGTCGCTGTTGAGTTCAAGCAAATAATTCTTCATCGTACGGCGCCCTGAAGCTGTCTTGCGTCGGCGTGCACGTTTGTTGCGAAACCCAGATACCAATGCTTCTTGCCTGCCGTCGGCGAGTACCGGCTTAGATGAGGCCATCTTTAAAGTGGGGCTAGATTCCATGCTTTCTGGGCTGCTGCTTACCATGGCCGCCACAGAGGGTAGAGAAACGTTGATGGCTGCTATTTCAGGCTCTGATGAATGATAATTAGAAGGAAGGGCCTCTACTGACGTGAATGCCTCTGTGTCCGTTCTAGACCTAGTTAGTAGGTCAATGGATTTAGCGGAATCGGAGCAAGCGGTGTCTGATTGAATAGCACGTTTAACTACAGTCTGATCTGCTAAAAAGCCAGAGCCAGAACCAGAACCAATAAGCCCATGGGATGGGATCATGTTGATAAAAGTAGAGCTGGGAAGGCAAGGAGGGAGTGAAGCAGGGGTTGGGGTAAATGACGCTCGCAAGGCCAGCTCACTGGATAGACGGGACTCAATAAACCAGCGGCGAAGCCGGGTTAAATCACGCCGTAGAGACAAAGAGCAGTTGACAGCTGAAATGTAGATAAGACAGATTTTCGAGAGGAAGAAATAGAAAAAGACAATCCCAAAAAGCACATGGTTAAGGTCAGTCTTTGCAATGAACAAGAAGAATTCAAAATAAATCAGTGAAGATTTATAAGTAAATTTCGAATAAAGAAGATGC